CTTGTGGCCTCTCCCGTTGCGGAGCACAGGCTCCGGACGCGCAGGCTCAGCGGCCATGGCTCACGGGCCCAGCCGCTCCGTGGCATGTGGGATCTTCCCGGACCGGGGCACGAACCCGTGTCCCCTGCATCGGCAGGCGGACTCTCAACCACTGTGCCACCAGGGAAGCCCCCCACAGCATTTTTGTAGATGGTTACCTGGCCCTCTTCTGAATACTTCGGTGATAGGACTGCTTCCAAATGGCTCGTTACTTCGAAGCATTTGATGGCTAAGCATCACTGCTTGCCTGAAAGTTCTGTCTCATATTGGACCAAAATCTGCCTTCATGTAACTTCCTCCAGTTACAACGTTTTGTCATAGAACAGTAGGGTTGTCATAGTTTCCAGTTCCACTTAGGGACATTAGTTGCCTATTATTGTTTATCTTATGTTTGATCCTGTGTTTAATTAAGTCAGTCTTTCCCGAATTGCTTTGATCTCTGTTATTTTACCTTGCTTTCAATGTTACTCTTTTAAGCCTTTCCTCTATAGAAATATTTTTTCTTTTTTTAATTTTGAAATAATTTGACTTTTAAAAAGTTGTAAGACTAATACAAATAACCCCCTTCACACAAATCCCCTAGCTAATATTTTATTACACTTATTTATCGTTCTCTCCCCCGCCCTCCCTATTTATTTATTTAGCTAGCTAGCTAGCTCTGTATCTTGACTCACTTGTAAGTTGCAGACATGATACCCCTTTACCTCTAAATACTTCAGTGTATATTTCCTAAAAACAATGACAACTTTGTATAACTGTAGGACAATTTCAAAATCAGGAAATTAATATTGGTATGTTATTACCTAATCTACAGAACTTACTCAAATTTTGCCAGTTGTCCCAATAATGTCCTTTATTAGGATTTTTTTTCTCCTGGTCCAGGATCCAATTCAGAATCACACATTGCATTTAGTTGTCAAATCTATTTAATCTCTTTTACACTGAAAGAGTTCCTTATTCTGTCTTTGACTTTCATGACCTAGACATTTTTGAAGTGTCCAGTGATTTATAGACTGTCCTTCAATTTTTGCTTAACGTGTTCTCATGATTAGATAAGATACGTATTCCTTGAAGGACACAACAGAACTGATGTTACATTCTTTTCAGTACATTGCATCAAAAGGTATGTGATATTTATGGTTCCATTAATGTTAACTTTAATCACTTGGTTTGGGTGGTCCGCAAGATTACTCTTTTCCCCTTTGTAATTAAGGATATGGGACTTCCCTGGCGGTCCAGTGGTTGAGACTCTGTGCTTCCAATGCAGGGGGCATGGGTTTGATCCTTGGTCAGGGAACTAAGATCCCACATGCTGCACAGCCAAAAAAAAGGAATTGGGGACGACTATGTAAATATAAAGTTTTTCATCAAGTTTTCACCTACTAGTTTCAACATCTATGTGTCTTGAATGAATTATTACTATGTTGCCAAAGAGTGATTTTTTAGAGGTATAATTGACATATGATGTTTCAGGTGTACAACATAATGATTGGATATTTGTATATATTGCAAAATGACCATCACGAGTCTAGTTAACATCCATCACAGGTAGTTACAATTTTTTTTCTTGTGATGAGAACTTTTAATACCTACCCTTAGAAACTTTCAAATATACAATATAGTATTATAAACTATAACCACCATGTGGGGGGGACGGGGAACCGGCTTGGGAGCTCAGCAGGCTTCCTGGCCCCAGCAGATCACCCTCTGCCCTCTCCCGCTCTTCCCGGAGACTCCCTCCCACCTGCCTCTCCTGATCTCCCTGGCCTCAGGGGCGCCAATCTTGTCTGGTCTCCACTTCTCCTCCCGCCCTCAGCCCGCCTACCTCCTACCGGTTCACTCTGGGGTTCCTCCCGTCTCCTTGGGGGTTACAGTCCCCCACCATCGGCTGGCAGGTGCCCTAGTTGTAGGGAGACGCTAACTCTGGGTCTTCCCGCACTGCCATCTTGACTCCTCCCCCCAGATTCTTTTATATATATTATATATATGATTGAATCGCTTTGCTGTCCACCTGACATACTGTAAATCAATTAAGCTTCAATAAAAATAAATAAATTAATAATAAGCCACACACGCACACACACACACACACACACACAAAGAATAGGCACAGACAAAATCACTCGGCCAGTTGTTAAACAGAAGTGGTGTGATGGGGCTTCCCTGGTGGCTCAGTGGTTGAGAGTCCGCCTGCCGATGCAGGGGACACGGGTTCGTGCCCCGGTCTGGGAAGATCCCACATGCCACGGAGCGGCTGGGCCCGTGAGCCATGGCCGCTGAGCCTGTGCGTCCAGAGCCTGTGCTCCGCAACAGGAGAGGCCACAGCAGTGAGAGGCCCGCGTACCGCAAAAAAAAAAAAAACAAAAAAAAGGGGGTGTGATGGGTACCTGAGGGAAATGGTCATGCTGTCAGAGATGGAAGTTCTGTGTAGGTCCAGTCGCAGAGATTCTCACTTACCAAGACTGATCTAGTTACTGCTCCCCCTGAACGTGCACCTTTCAGCCACAGAGACCAACACTGAGCCCCTGATACAGCACTATCCTTGGAGACCAACTGGCCACTAGGTGGCAAATTGACCACATGAAGCCCTGTCCATCCTGGAAGGGCAGCACTTCATCCTCACCAGGATCAATAGCTACTCTGAGTAAGAGTTCCCCTTTCCTGGGACTTCCCTGGTGGCGCAGTGGTTAAGAATCCGCCTGCCAATGCAAGGGACACAGGTTCGAGCCCTGGTTTCCGGAAGATCCCACATGACGCGGAGCAACTAAGCCCATGCACCACAGCTACTGAGCATGCGGTCTGGAGCCCATTAGCTACTACTGAAGCCCGTGTGCCTAGAGACTGTGTTCCGCAACAAGAGAAGGCACTGGACTGAGAACCCCAGGCACCTCAACAAAGAGTAGCCCCCGCTCACCGCAACAAAGACCCGACGCAGCCAAAAATAAATAAATAAATAAATTTATTTTTAAAAAAATAGAGTTTGCCTTTCCTGCCTGTGGAGCATCAACCACACCACTATCTGGGGCTTTTGGAATTCTTGACTCATAGGCATGGAGTTCCAAACACTTAACATCTGATCAATGAAGGAAATAGAGGATTGAGCTCGTGACCATGGGACACGATGATCTATCTTGTACTGGACAATCCAGGGGACTAGTCATCTAAATGTACAACTGAGATGCAAACTTAGAGGAAACACTCTGAAGGGATAGGTCCCCATCCTTTAAGATACAACATATTTATGGGAATTCCCTGGTGGTCCAGTGGTTGGAACTCAGTGCTTCCACTGCGGTGGCTGGAGTTTGATCCCTGGTGGGGGAACTAAGATCCTGCAAGCCATGGAGCCCAGCCAAAAAAAAAAAAAAAAGATACAACATACCTATTAAATCAGAGAGCTCTGTGTAGAGCCGTGTCCCCAGTAGGAAGGCTCCATGGGACTAGGAATCAAGAGGTGGAAGCCAACGTTGTTCCACCTGCCATTCCTCCCAGTCACCCATTGAGGACTGTGTGTGTCCCGTGCCCCGAGCTGCAAGGTTGAAGCTCCTGCTCCTGTAAAAGACACATTCTCCTTGTAGAAGTTGTGGTGGTGCCAGATCTTCCCCACGTCGTCCTGGTTGGTGATGATGCCCTGCTCTACGAGGTACTTCAGGATCTGGACACTGTGCCTGCTTTGGGTCCTGTCCTCCAGGTAGCTGTCCTTCTGGCCCACACCCACCATGAAACCCTGGTGTTGAGGCGCCCGAGGATGGATGGGAACACAGCTAGGGGGCATTATCTCCAGCAAAGCCAGCATTGCACATGCCAAAGACATGGTGGCTGACAAGCACAGCGATTTCCTCCTGCCTTGGATCCTCCGAGGTTGGGAGCGAAGGAGGGGGAGCCTGAGCGCAGGAGCCCTCGGAGCTGAGCTGGCTGAAGCAAGACCACCCCGGGTTCTTTTTTTTTTTTAATTTGGTTATTTATTTGACTGTGCGGGGTCTTAGTTGCAGCATGCGGGATCTTTTGTTGCAGCATGTGGGATGTAGTTCCCTGACCAGGGATGGAACCCAGGCCCCCTGCATTGAGGGCATGGAGTCTTAACCACTGGACCAGCAGGGAAGTCCCCTAGGTTCTTAGATGCTGTGTTTTCATCGTCTACAGTTTCAGTTAGTGGTTTTTTTTCGTTCAAAGAATTGTTTAAAATGGGTTGAAATTTCCATATAAAAGGAGCTTTGTTGCCCTAACTTGTATTAATTTCTATTCATATTGCATGGTGACCCGAGAATGCTATCTTTACTATTTATTGTTTGCACTTTGCTGAGGTTTTTCTTTGTGGCCTAGCAGTTTTTGTGAACATTCACGGGCAATTGAAAGGAAAGCATATTCTCTTTTTTAGGATGTATTATTTGATATATCATTAATCAGATCTACCTTATCAATTATATATAATTATCAATTATATTACTAAGGCTCCCATAATTTACTTATTTTTATTTACTTGATCTCTCACAGATTGAGAAAAAGAAAGGTTAAGTGATTTTGCCAAGTTCTCAATAGTAAATGGAAAAGTTCTTTAGTCAATGGCAAAACAGAATTCAGGCAGTACGATTTCAGAACCTCAGCTCTGAACTATTATGCCACCTGACTTCTGTGGGCATTCATTATATTTTTCTCTGTGTGTTTTCACTTGGGGGTTAAACAATTTAATAGGAGGAAGAGAGATCTCCCAGGGGAACAACATGAAACCAATAAAAAAGGCACAGAAGTTTGTGAAGCAATTTAGAAAAGTATTGGGGAAGTCAGGTTATTCTCGGGGAAGCTGAGTAATTGTACAAAATGTAGCATTACATTTAGAGGATGTAAATGTAAATGTTACACGTAAATGTTAGGGGCAGGGTGCATGCGGTCAAACTGGGGATGGTAAGTGGCTAATATCAAGCAACTGAGCAAGTGGGGGACACGCTTCACCAACAGTCTGTAAGAGGGTTATGAGAGTGGGATATTTTATCCCTTGCAGACCTTCCAACCTCCAACTGGGAGGATGATTATCAGTTCTGGGGCAGAAGAGTCCACCCACCAGACAAGTGCTGGGTTAAGATACAAGGAGGGAAGGTCCTGAGTTGTTTGCCCATGAAAGGGAGGTGACAGCGCCACTGTGGTGGAGGACGGGGTGATGAATTGCTCTCCACTGGCAGGTCTTTCAACTAAGAAAGGAGAAAGATATCTGTGCTCAAGAAGCTAGTCAGAGTAATATTCCATTGTATATATGTGCCACATCTTCTTTATCCATATATACACTACCAAACGTAAGGTAGATAGCTAGTGAGAAGCAGCCACATAGCACAGGGAGATCAGCTCGGTGCTTTGTGACCGCCTGGAGGGGTGGGATAGGGAGGGTGGGAGGGAGGAAGATGCAAGAGGGAAGAGATATGGGAACATATGTATATGTATAACTGATTCACTTTGTTATAAAGCAGAAACTAACACACACACACAAAATTTAAAAAATAAAAGCTAGTCTGTTCACCGGTAGAAATGGGTCTGTCTTAGGGAAGCCTTTGGGAATTATGTCTAAAAGAGGATGCAAACAGAGCAATGTCATTATAGGGAAAAGTTACTCCCTGCTTATCTTTCAGCCTCAGAAGTAGAGTGTCTATTCTCTACAAATTAGAGAATAAGGTAGTTAATCCAGTGGTCTTAAGAGAAGGCCCTTAGGTCCTTTGCTCATGAGAGTAGAGAATGCAAAACTCCACCAGCATGCTGGGAGAGAAGTGGAATGTTGTCAAACTGATTCCCTAGGTACCTGCCAGCTTTGCAGTAGGGGAGATGAGGTTAGGTCTGTTTGAGAGACTTGGATTTCAAGGCACCAGGCGGGTCAATGTTCAAGTTATTTGGACCCTGGAAAAGGAATCCCAGATGTGTTCTTATACCTACACCCTCGTGCCTCACCTCTTGGAAGAGGAATTTAGAGAGGTGAAACAGCTGATTATTTGAAATTGTCCATTCTCAGCCAAGCAAGGAAAGCTGTGGAAATGAATCAGGCCAGAAATGAAGTTGGCCGTGGAGAAGGGGGCGAGGCTGAAGTGGCTCTGACACTTTGAGCAGGAAGGTAGTAAGGGGGCTTCTAGGGGGAGGGAGAGTTGGGGAACTCCAATTCTATGAGACAGCACTCAGAGCTGAAGAAGCCACCAGAGCCAGCAAAAGCCAGTTAAAGCCACCAACCAAAGAAAAGACCACCAGGCCACACCTATAGAAAAAGTTGGGTTTATTGAAGTCGCTGCAGTGAGGAAGAACTAATCATGGGATGTCTCAGTAAGACAGAGTGTGGCTCGGGCTCATGCCGGTTGATTCTAAGAAAGGATGGCTCGTTAGTCATTTTTGCAACTGCAGCATAGCCTTAGTTATGTTTGGTTAGAGGCACTGTCTTGTTGGCCTGACTGAGTCCTGTTGAAAACATTGTCTATCACCGTCTGACTGCTAGCGGAGTGGCTTTGCTCTTTCCCAGGTTCTAATTAGAGTTAGAGGTCCTGGTTGGGGAAAGTAATTTGGCTGACTAGAAAGCCATGGAAAAGCCTCAGTAGGGTTGTGGTTCTAGAAGAGCACTCAAGGAAAAATTCAGCTGAGCAGAGGAAAAGGGGGGATTTAGCTTACGTGGAAATAAGAGGTCGCTCATCAGTTGTTGGAATATCTAAGGTGAACCTCACCTCGGATACCCGGAAGCTGTTTCCTGCACTTGCACGGGTGTTCTACTCTGTGAGAAGACTTAGGCAGGTGGGGAAAAAACAGCAAAATTATACTGAGCATGTGCTGTCCTTCCCCTTCCTGTTGCGGTTGGCTTTGAGCTAGAACACCTTGAGGAATTTGACTTTGAGTAGCAAGCAGTTTCTGTCTCAGGCTAGCAAAGCTGGAGACAATACAGTATTTGGTATAAATTTCCCTTTGTTCCGAAAAAGCAACAGGGTTGAACAGATTTAGTTTTGCAACGTAAGGCAAAAACGTTCTCGAAAATGGAAAAGGTTGAGATGCTATGAATCTGAAAGTCTAAAACGTTCATGGGACCCTGTGTGTATATGTGCACATGCATGTGTGTGTGTGTGTATACGTGTGATTCTGCTTGAGTTCTTTCTTCTTTGTTGAGAAGGCTTTTTTTTTTTTTTTTTTTTTACACTTAGAGCACAGGAACAGGAGGAAGGACACACCCAACAGCTGTAGAAGCAGGAAACATCTACTCTAAAACTGAAGAACAAAAACACGAAAGCTGAGAGTATTTTTTGCGTATTTTGCTGCAACTAAACTTCTTTGAAAAAGTCCAGGCTTCATCTATGTATGATTGGGAATGGAGATGCGATGTGCAATGAATCCAGTGTGATTTATGCAGTTTTATTTCTACAAACTTACTGTTTGCTTTGGAGAATATTTCTTCTCTAGATTACATTCCAGAAGTATTAGGAGCTAAGTCCCATGGGACAGCAGTGAGGCAATTATAGGAGTGATGTTCACTTCAAGCTGGGGGAGGGTCTATGAAGAGGAACTGGCCTGGGCTTGGCAAAGGTCAACCTGAACTATTGATGAGAGTGTTTAGAACTAAAGAAAAAAAAAAAAGACTTGAGGAATGTGAAAAGTACAAGCCATCCTTCTTTTTCATAATTTATATGGTTATGTAAAAGTAAATGAGCTACTTGCTATAATACTTATGTATCTCTTGTGGGGATACTACATTCTAACTCTGTAACAGGCCAACTGCCCTGTAGGGGGAGGATGAGAAATATCCAGTTTTTAGGAAAGAGCTTAGATCTCTTTCGGGAAAGTGAAACCTAGATAGAAAATAGAAACTGTCCATGGGGGAAACCTGTGTTTTCCCTCTGGGCTTTGTTTGGGGACTACATTTTTTTTAATTAATTAATTTATTTATTTATTTATTTTTGGCTGTGTTGGGTCTTCACTGCTGTGCACGGGTTTTCTCTAGTTGCGGCACGCAGTCTTCTCATTGTGGTGGCTTCTCTTGTTGCGGAGCATGGACTAGGCACACAGGCTTCAGTAGTTGTGGCACATGGGCTTAGTTGCTCCGCGGCATGTGGGATCTTCCTGGACCAGGGCTCGAACCTGTGTCTCCTGCATTAGCAGGAAGATTTTTAACCACTGCACCACCAGGGAAGCCCCTATATATATATTTTTAAATTGGAGTAAAATTGCTTTACAACGTTGTGTTAGTTTCTGCTGTACAATGAAGTGAATCAGCTGTATGTATGTAGACATGTTCCAGGAACTACCAATTGTTAGAGGAAGATTTCTCTGCCCATTTGAAGGCAAGTGCTATATGCTGCAAATGATTCAGCTGCATTTTGTAAATCAGACTACACAGTCTTTTATATATTCATCACCCTTTTTGTCTTCTTTGGTCCAGTATTTCTCAAAATGTTATATTTGGACTACCTCTGTTAGAATCACCTGGAAGTTGTCAAAAATAAAAATTCCTAGTCCTGGGCTTCCCTGGTGGCGCAGTGGTTGAGAATCCGCCTGCCAATGCAGGGGACACAGGTTCGAGCCCTGGTCAGGGAGGATCCCACGTGCCACAGAGCAACTAAGCCCGTGCGCCAAAACTACTGAAGTCCACGCGCCTAGAGCCCGTGCTCTGCAGCGGGAGAGGCCACGGTGGTGAGAAGCTCGCACGCCGCAACAAAGACACAACACAGCCAAAAATAAATAAATAAATTTATTTTAAAAAAAAATTCCTAGTTCCATACTTGATTGATTTAAAGTATGTGGGTATGAGGACTTCCCTGTTGGTCCAGTGGCTTAGACTCCACCATCCCAGTGCAGGGGGCCTGGGTTCCATCCCTGGTGGGGAACTAGATCCCACATGCCGCAACTAAGAGTTTGTATGCTGCAACTAAAGGTCCGGCATGCCGCAACTAAGACCCAGCACAGCCAAATAAATAAATAAATAAATATTAAAAAGTAAAATAAGGGACTTCCCTGGTGGCGCTGTGGTTAAGAATCTGCCTGCCAATTCAGGGGACACGGGTTCGAGCCCTGGTCCGGGAAGATCCCACATGCCACAGAGCACCTAAGCCTATGCACCACAACTACTGAGCCTGTGCTCTAGAGCCTGTGAGCCACAACTACTGAGCCCGCGTGCCACAACTACTGAAGCCTGCATGCCTAGAACCCGTGCTCCTCAACAAAGACAAGCCACCCCAATGAGAAGCCCGTGCACTGCAACGAAGAGTAGCCCCTGCTCGCTGCAACTAGAGAAAGCGCGCACGCAGCAACGAAGACCCAACGCAGCCAAAAATAAATTAATTAATAAGTAAATTTATTTTAAAAAATAAATAAAATAAAATATCTAGGTATGGAAGCTACGAATCTGTCTTAACCACCCCTTACAGGTTTTTCTTATGCATACTACAGTCTGAATACCCTAGCAGAATCTCAGCTGTGCTGCCAGGAATTAAAGAGGGATCTATGTTCATGAAGGTGTTAGAGTCTTAAAGAGGAGCTAGTGGTGGCAGCAGCAGCAGAGATTCCCCAGGGGAAGTTTGGAGCTTTGAAGTCTTCTATCCTATAGAGCCTATGTATAAATTTGCCTTCTGTTGCCAAATGTGGAGCCTTCAGTTTGTTATTGCAGGAGGTGATGAGTTCCTGTAAGCTTTGAGTCTTTCTTTCTAAAGAAGCCTAGAAATACCTTATTCATTATTTGCCACCAGATGAAGCCTGAGGCGTCCAAGTTGGGCTGCTGTCATATCCTTAAGAAGGTAACCCTCTTTGAGGCAGGCAACATCTTTCTGCAACAATTTGAGTAGGATCCCCCTTGGGTGTTCACTTCCATTTTCCCCAAGTACTACAATCTTGGATACTTCCAGGTATCTACAATGTTGGATACTTCCAAGTATCCAACATTTTATTTGGAGCCCAAGTCAAATGTTAGAAACTACTTGACCTGAGTGCTATGTGTCTTCACAGGCCCTATGATGCACCTGAGTGACCACACAGGGCTGACAGGAGGCCCAGTAACAGTGACTACTTCCCCCTATAACACTTCCTCCTTGCCTCAGACACCTGCCATGCCCAACCCACTAACTCCATGCTTACATGCTATCAGTCCTATCCTTGCTGCATCCTTTCTTTTCTTCTGCATGCTTTATCCTGTTACTAATCTCCTATAGAAGCAAAACTGCCACTTGGTTCTGCTTCCAAAATGATTAAGCTCGTCATATACTACAGGTAGGAACATGATAAAACCATTTTGCACTCCTAGATAAACTGAAAATAGTAGGGTCATCCTGAACGGTTCTGGTCTCCAGAATAATAAACCCTGAAAATTTTCCTACAAACCTGGACTCTTGAGACAATGTTATCCCTGATCTTTGTTATGCTGGTGTCTGAAAGCACAGGTGACTTTTGTAAATATGGTGGTTGTGTGAGAGAGTTAGTGTGTTTTTTTTTTCCCCACCATGAACAGACTAATAAAAACTTGGTACCCTTGATAGTTTTGCCTTTTTTTCCCCTTTAAATATTTGTGTTTTGAATTTGGTGAGCCAGTCTTTCTGGCTTTTTCAGAAAGAAGTCTGACACTCTTGCACTGAGGGCAAGTAAATTTGTCCTTCCTTTCTTCAAGGCAACGGTCTCTAGGAACTTCCCTGGCGGTGCAGTGGTTAAGAATCCGCCTGCCAATGCAGGGGACATGGATTTGAGCCCTGATCCGGGAAGATCTCACATGCCGCGGAGCAATTAAGCCCGTGCACCACAACTACTGAGCCTGCACTCTACAGCCCTCGAGCCACAACTACTGAGCCCACATGCCACAACTACGGAAGCCCGGGTGCCTAAAGCACGTGCTCTGCATCAAGAGAAGTCACTGCAGTGAGAAACCTGTGCACCGCAATGAAGAGTAGCCCCCACTCAAAAAAAAAACAAAAAAAAACTGGGCTTCCCTGGTGGCACAGTGGTTGAGAGTCCGCCTGCCGATGCAGGGGAAACGGGTTCGTGCCCCGGTCCGGGAAGATCCCACATACCTCGGAGCGGCTGCGCCCATGAGCCATGGCCGCTGAGCCTGCGCGTCCGGAGCCTGTGCTCCGCAGCGGGAGGGGCCATAGCGGTAAGAGGCCCGCGTACCGAAAAACAAAAACAAACAAACAAAAAAAAGAGTAGCCCCCACTCGCCACAACTAGAGAAAGCCCACGCACAGCAACGAAGACCTAACACAGCCAAAAATAAATTAATTAATTAATTAATTTTTTTTTAAAAAAAAGAGTCTCTGGAGTCTTCCTGGGGCAATTCCAGTCTTTTGTATTGTTCCCTCCAGAATCCCTTCCATTACATCAGGATCACTTACATGTCTTCTCCTCCTCACCTACCCAGTGGCCTAAACCCAAAACCTGGAGTCATCCTTGACTCCTACCTCTCCTCACTCCCTTCTTTTATCTTCTGAAAGTCTTTCATATAGGTCTATAACCCAACCATGACTTCTTTTATTTACTTATTTATTCATTTATTTGTTTAGGTGTGAGAGTTTTTATTTTTTTAATCTGCTGCTTTTTTGAAAACATCTTTATTGAGCTATAATTCCCATACCATAAAATTCACTCCTTTAATGGATACAAGCGATGATTTTATGTATATTCATGGAGTTGCACAACCACTGCCACCATCTAATTTTAGATATTTTTTTATCACCTCCCCCACAAAAGAAACCAGTACCCTTTAGCAGTTAACCATAATCTCTTGCCTGGGTTTTTATA